GAAACAATGTATAACTTCAGCTCTGAGATCCCGGCAGGCTGAAAGCTGGTTTCTGGGGTTTTGTTTAGCTTCTTATTTGCAACATAGTACATAGTTGCTTAGAGTTGCAACTCAGAGGCCGGCAAGTCAGGCGGGGAACGTTGGAGTCTGCAGTCACTGGAGCAAGCAAGCCTCCCTGTTCGCTTCAGTGCATGGCTGCCGGCCGCCATCTTGGCTGACAGTTAATTTGCATAAGGATATGCTGATTAGCCAATGGGAAGGGTAGCGGTCGTATGCTAATTACCATGTTTCTCTTTTATTAGTGTAGATGTGCCACAGTTAGAATAACAGTGAGAGTACAAAAAGGAAGTGGAGTTCTGCCAGTGGGAGATAGTAGCTTTGGCAAAGACAAGCTCATGACAAACAGCAAGGAGGCCACAACATTCAATCATAAGTGTGAATGGTGTCCTGCATGTAAATGGAGTACTGAGCTCATCTACCAAGTAGAGATTTAAAAAGAGATATATGGTCAATTATATGATAATAACTGACCTCAAATTATGTGTTAAAATTATTTTCTTTACCATTTGACAGAATGTCAAGGGCCCTCATGAAAAGTTTGGTGAGCGACTCAAGACAAAATGACCAAATATCTTTGTACAAATTGACTACTGTCTAATGGACCTATACCCATTAATTAGTCCTTGGACTGGCTTGGATAAGGGACTTATCAGGTCTATGCCTCCTTCCATTTGCTTTGGATCACTTCTAATATTCAAGAAGCACAGGAAAATAAAGAACAAATACATGTGAAATAGACTTTTTACAAATAGACAAGAGAGAGTAAATGAAATAGTAAAAGAATAAGCACATTACTGAAAAATTTGCTAAATGGTACATCTCCAAAGCAAATGTCCAACTAATTACTTTGCATCTAATTGCATACACATCATTAAATAATAAGATAAATTCAGGAATAAGAGCTCATGAAACTGCTTAGAGCTCAAGTAGTTGTTGAGACTGAGGATTTACCCCTATTGGTTCAAGGGTGCCACAGGGCCTTTCTAAGCAAAAGTCTTTAAGGTGATCTTGGTGGGATCTCCACTGTAAAGGGATCGTCTATATACAATATCTGAAGCTAAAAGAGGGACTTATTTCTTGCTTAACAAGGCACATAGTAGGAGGAGGCAGTGTACTTATTGGACACTGTTTCTTAAAAAATGGAAACTATTGATTTTATGTGGAGTTTTGGGAAACTTGTAGTTCAGGGACTGCAGAGTTTCAGAAATAGGAGTGATTATAAACAGACTAGCATTTAGCCATAGATTCAGGCTTTCTGGAGTGTGGTTGTTGCTAATTGGCTGATTTTCAATTAGTGTAAGGCTGCAACTGATGTGGTTGGTGATGTAAGCAGTCATTAGTCAATTGGCATGAGTTTAAAAGTGGTTCTGGTAGATACTTATACAATTTTCAAAGAACAGTTAGTTTTTTCCTGAAAGAATATAATCTTTATTTCTCTTAAGGCTGCAAGTAGAAAAATAAAAGTACAGGAAGCAGAATAAGGTGTAAAAGATAGGAAAATCATGGCTCTGCGGGATCTCAAGTGTGATTATTGGAGCAGGTATATTTTTTCTGAGGAAGCAGCTCATCTTAACTCAGAATATTAGTGTGCTGCATGAGAGCACCAGGAACTCTTCCCTAATCACTATCTCAGGATTTATAAACTGTAAATTTCTTATTTTTCTTTAGTATCTGGTGAACTAGAAGCTCCCAAAATGGGTAGAGAAGGAGAATCTGAAGAGCTTACCTCTAGCCCACTACCCTGTGATGGACAAGGTAAGCATGACTTAAAGAAACAGAGTTCTGATAAAGAGAAATGACAAGAGAGAAAAATAGGAGATTTAAAGGAAGAATCAAATATAGGGTGGATCAATGGAAGATTTTGAAGGAATCAGTAGAAAATGGGGATCAACAAATTTACATAAAAGAAGGTTCTAGGGCAAATGAAAGGTCTTCATAAATCACAATTTTGTTCCAGGAGCAGAGCTACCAACAGGTGGAAATGATAAGTATGCCTGTGTTATGTGCTTCTCAAACGATATGCCAGGAAGTCTGGAAGCAAGGACTGAAAATAGTGAAGCATGTGACACAATAGGTAAGACTGTCCAAAGGTCAAGTCATGAGGGTAGATCTACAGGCAACATAGACCCCAGGTAGAGTGTGACAGGTATTACAGTCCATCCCACTATCCTGTTCTTGGCATTTTCTCAACCTGCCCCTTTTGGGAACAGCATGGAGACAAAACATGTCTCATAAACAGGACAAGCCCTGTTGACTTTACATAGTTGATTATAGTAGAACTAGAAGCCCGTTGCACAAAGATTTGTGCAATAGGCCTTCCTTCCCCTGGCTGCCGGCACCAGTTTTCCTCTGGCACCCGGGACCCAGGCCTTTGGTCCGGCCGCAGCGGAGAAGCCAAGACTCTTCAGTCTTCAGTCTGGCAGGAGCCTTCAGTCTTCGCTTTGCGCCTGCATATGCAAATTAATCGCCATCTTTGTTGGGTTAATTTGCATACTCATTCGATTGGCTGGTGGGCACAGCAGAGTGACACCAATTTGCATGTTTCTCTTTTATTAGTGTAGATTACACTCTTAAAATGACTGTATCTAGTTTACTACATTAGTATATTAGTAATAGATTTTGTATTTATACAGTGATTTCCATCCCAGTCCCACCCGGAATCCAAAAAAAGGGAGAGTGTACTTCTGCTAGTAGATAATAGTGTCATTTTTTTTCACAACCTTAGAAAGACCTTAAAGATAGCTGATCCTGCCATTTAATTGTCAGTAGGAAAGACTTCAGATCAACTGCTCTTAACCCAGCACATATTTTTGATGGATGTACTCCAGCATGTCACTAATTTATATATTGTTTTCCTACAAACTTTTGCACATAAGATGTTATTTAATTCTCACAAAAATATCTTTAGACCTAGTCAGAATTGGATAACTGGTTCTGTCCCTGAATTAATTGAAGTACAGAGATATTTAAGAGTGTTTTTCAAGATCCTATTGAGAACTAAAGGAAGACCGTGGGCCCATCCTGGACTCCTACTTCTCAATTCAGAAGATTTTTAGTCCCTTTAGAAGGAAGAGAAGAATGATAGTCCAAACATCTTTAAAAACTCAAGCCTTCTGTAGTATGAATGACCCCAGGATTGGCAACTTTTAGTTATTAACTTATTTCCTTACATCAACCTCTTATTTTCTAGATAATGTGGATCTTGGAAACAACTCTACTTTGGGAAAACCCAAGAGGAAAAGAAGTAAGAACGCATTACATTTTACTTGATTTTGATGTTAAAATGAGCTTTTTAATGCCAGAGTTTTATATTACTACTAGAGGCCCAATGATAAAATTCGTGCAAGAGTAGGCTGCTGGCACTGGCTTCCTTCTGGTACCTGGGACCCAGGCTTCCTTCGCAGCCCTGGCTTTGTTCAGAAGGTCATCCGGAAGGATGTTTGGTCTAATTAGCATATTATGCTTTTATTATTATAGATTTACAATAATAAATGATAATAAAAATAAGTGATAATAATATGATAGTTATTCAAACCTGTTTATATCCTAATCTCTAGAACATATAATGTGTTTTCTTCCATGGAAAAAGGGATTTTATGCATATAATAAAGCTAGGGTCGTTGAAAGGGGAGAATGTCTTGGGTATTTGGGTGCCACCAATATCATCAATGAGCTTTAGAGTGAAGAACTGTTCTCAGATATGGTGAGAGAAAGATAGTCACAGAGAGATTCAATCTTTGTGAAGATGGAGAAGCAGAACAAGGAATATGGGTTATCTGTAGAAGTTGTAAGAGTCATGGGAATAGCTTCTCCTCTATCACCTCCAGAAAGAAATGAGAGCCCACTGAAGCCTTTATTTTAGCCCTTTCAGTCTAGACCCTTGTCAGACTTCTAACTGACATATCTGTAAGATAATAAATCTGAATTGTTTTAAGCCACTAAATTTGTGGTTATTTGTATGGCAGCAATAGAAGAGCAATATAAATCTTGGTTATTATACAGCTATAACACATTCCTAAAAAGGTGGAAGTGGCTTAGGAATTAAGCAATGGACAGAGAGAAATTGGGCAATGAGAAGAATTTTAAGTAGAATGATAGAAACTGCCTACATGGCCTGGAGCAGTTTGTTAGTAGAAATGTGCAAAGACTACTAGTGAGGACTCAGAAGGAGGTGAAGAACATGGGAGAGAAAGCCTATATTGTCTTAGAGAATACATAAGTCACGCTGAACAGATGTTAGTAGAAATAAGGAGGTTAAAGGCGTGGCTGGTGAAGACTGAGAAGGAAACAAAGAACATGTTTTGGGAAACTGGAGAAAGAGGATTCTTATTAAGTAAAGGCAGAGAGCTTAGTGAAATTCTTCCTAAAGATATGTGGAAAGCAAAACTTTTTGGGTGTACAGCTAAGGATATTAGTAAGCAAGTGATAAAGACTCAGCTGGTTTGTTTGTTTTTATTTCTTAGAGTAAAATATGTGAGGAAAGAGATAAACCCATAGAAGAACTGCTCAACAACAACATCATAAAATTAGGACTTGATGATCTGAACAATTCTTAGCTTATTCAGGTTGCAAAAGATGCTAAAATTAGAAGATCCACTGTCAGGAAAGTGTGCTTTGTAGAAGTGATCAAGAATATGGCTTAATAACTTTTTGCTGATGCCTCAGAAATAACAAAAGATCAGAATATTCATTCACCTAAAAGGTTCTTGGAAGAAATTAAATGTGTGATTCACAAGTCCCCCCAAGCCATCTCAGCAGAGATTAAAAAATAGATATGTAATTATGTAGGAAAGATCTGTGGAGGAGCTCTTGTCTATGGAACAATTCTCCATGACATACATGGAGATCTATAAGGTTCTTGAGAATTATTTACTGACAGAAACAAAACTCTCTGTCTAATTCCTAGAACCTGTAATATGGTTCTTTACATGGTAAAAGAGAGTTTTAGGAATCTTTAGATGGGGAGGTTATCTTGGATTCTCTTGGTAGCCCCAATCAAATCACATGGGTTCTTACAATGAGAAGACTTTTCCTGCTATGCAGAGAAGGATATGTGCGCATGAAATAATTAGAGCTACAATGACCTGGCTTTGAAGATGCCGACAGGGGATAATGAATGAAGAAATTGGAAGCTGAAAAAAAAAGGATTATTCTTCATAGCCTTCAGAAATGAACAAAGCCCTGTGGACACCTAGATTTTAGCCCAGTGAGATTTGTGTTACATTTCTGACCTTCAGATCCATGAAATAATAAATTTGTGTTGTTTAAAGCCACACATTTTATGATAATTTATTACAGCAGCCATGACAACTAATACCTTTTGTAAAATAAACAAACAAAAAAGAATATTTCACCTTTATATGTTAGATTGCATCTTTTTAAATAGCAATTGGTATTTTCAAATGCTCACATCTTTGCATGTCTTTTTAATTGTAAAACATGAACTTTGTAAGTGTGGCATATATATTTCTAGATTTTTCTATGCATATATGAACACATTTAGAATTATATCATTATATCTTAAAAATCTATTGCTACTGTTAATTTCCCTTACTTTAAATGAGTATATCATGTACAAGACATTATAAACATTTAACATATTGCCAACTTACCTTTAAACATTTTTCGAGATAAATTTACAATGAAATGTAATAAAGTAGGGAATATCATTTGATGTGTTCTGACAGATGCATTGTCCTGTGTAATCCAAATCCTATCAAGATACAGAACATGACCATTACCCTGGAAAGGGCCCTTCTGCCTTTTTGGTATATCCTTAACCCTCACTCATAAAATGCAATGACCTATTCTTATTTTTTCATGATAACTTAATTTGGCTTGTTTTCAAACTTTAAATAAATAAGGTTTTAGAGCATATTCTCTTTTGGTGCAGTATTGCACTCAGCATAATGTTCTTTGAGTTTAACCACATTGCTGAATGTATCAGTAGCTTTTTCCTTTTGATTGCAGTTAATGAACATTGTATGAATATACCAAACATTGAGTATATATTCTCCTATGATGAAGAGCACATGTGTGCCAGTTTGGGGCTAATATGAAAAAGCTGCAATGAACATTCTTCTGGAAGTCTTTCTGTGGCTCCATGCCTTCATATCTCATATAAATTTCTAGAAATAAATTTTATGAGACATGGTATAGGTGCATCAGTCTTTTGTCCCCAAAACCCAAGTTGGGGCTATACAGCACACAAAAATGGTGCCAAGCTGAGAAATAGAATGCTTCAGGAACTGTTTCTACTGGTCAGAAACCCTTGGCTTAAAAGGAGGCTGTTAGTAAACCTGCTCAAACCTTATCCCTCAGAGAGACATTATTTATAAGCAGATCTCCTCTGAGGGGAGAAGGAAAACTTTACTATCCCAGAATATTTCTAATGAGGGAGATGTTCTCTATTTTATACTGATCAGGAAACGAATCTGCCTTCTGATCTTGATGGCCACATTAGATACTCAGAAGCATGTGGAAATGCCACCAAGAATTACCTCTGAACAAATCCACCTCACCCAGAAAACTCTAGCAAATTTCCCCCATGAAGACACCACTCACAAGCCACTTCAATTATTCTGACCAATGGGGATAGGGCTAAATTCAGTTGATTTGTTTCTTGCACCATTTAACATATTTCATAAACCATAAATGCTGTAGGTCTCTATTGGCCACCCTAATCTGCAGTTCACCATGTTTGCATGAGGGAGGCAAGTGAGTACCTGGCTTTCTCTTAAGAAGTATCATCTCAAGGGCACACACAGTGACCTGGAAGGGAAGCTTTTATAGTTATTGAGCCCCCTAGTGTGATGCACACCACCAGGAGGAAGATGGACAGTGTGGGCCCTGGCTGTAAGCCTTATAGTTCCCAGTTCCATTTACTTGTCTAGTCCTTGATGTTCAGAGGGGCTCTGCATGGATGTACAGGTGCAGGGGCCAGCCCTGTTTTCTTGTGTCTGGAGCTGAATGGCAGACTCAGCATCTCCGTGGTGGGAGAGCTGGACCATGCACATGGTCCTGGAAGAAGGATTCAGGACAATTCTGAAGAATAGATATTATTAATGCTTCTCCCTCCCTCTAATGTCTTAAGTTGTATGGTGTTCCTTCCTCAGATGCCTGGATCTTTGCTCTTCCTTCAGTGCCACAAAATCTGTGCGTACCATTCCAGTGGCTTTAACTTCATCTTTCTTTCCCAATCATCTTTAATTGTCACTCAGACCTTTTTTACAGAAGGACCAGATACAAGTAGGAAAAGACATTTTCATAAGGTGTAACCAGAATTAAATCTGCCTCCCCTAGACACTCCGAGGCTGGTTGGGGAAAGAAGGAAACATCATCCCCAGGGATGTTAGAACAGAATCCTGGATTTTTAGAATTGGTCTATTTAACAGCATTTATCCCTCACTGCTTTTGTCCTGATCATGATGCAGACAGGAGTTGATCCTTTTCTGGAAACAGCTGTCTTCAGTGACCAAAGAGCCTTACAGAGTTGTGTAGACAGGAGGAGATGAGGAATGTTAAGTCAGACAATCAGTGCTTTGGGAGTAGTTTTTGATAAAGGGCATACCATTGTCAGACTCAGATGGTCCAGCCCTCCCCATTCATGACACCCATGAGTTCCCAGGGTCACAATGGTGTGGCCAGAATCAGTTCTTTGTAAGTTGAAGTGTACACTGTGTTGATGTACCACCCATAGCCCCAAGAGGGGTTTGAAGCCTGATCAGTGTGTCAGGAGCAGGCAGAGCAAAGCCCCTTGTGATGTGGCTCCCTGACCATGGGATGAACAGGTCAACGTTAGCAGGAATCATGAGCCTGGCACACAGCTGCAGTCCCTGATCATAATCATGGTGTCAGCCTGTCAGCAGGTACTTAGGCATCTCCATGAGGGGTCCAGACTGGTCTGTCAGCACCACAAGTTCATTTCTGCAGTCATGCCTGAGAGAAAGGCATCTTAACTTTGCCAGCCTGTTGCTTTCCACTTGGCCGACAAAACATCTAGGCCACGTGCAGAGAAGCCCAGTTGTCTGAGTGCTGCCCACCAGAGGAGTGACCAAATTTGCTTTTGGTTCTGCAAAGTTGGCTCTGAGGCCAAGCAGCCATAGTAGCTTAGTGGACACTGGCTGTCAGGTCAGCCAGGCATTAAGGCACCAGGCCCAGCTACCAGGGGAATCTTGCTGAATTGAAGACCCTGCAAGGCCAATGTTTGCTTCAGGCTGTGAAGGAGAATAGAAAGCCTAGGTGCCATTGGGCAACATCCCCACATTCTTGAATATACCATTTCCACTTGAAGAGCAAGGCTTTCAGGCCTTTCTTACACTGTAAATCCTAGAGTTGAGTTGACCCACCTCAAAATGGGAATCTCAGGAAAGAGAGTTACAGGCCTTCCTCCATGGATTTTTACTTTCAGCAGTAAATATCTAGTAGCTGGCTGTTATGATATTATTAATAATAATAACAAGACACAATCTCTACCCAGCACCAATGGTCTTCTCACATTCACATGTTTTCATGTCATTCACGAGAAAGCAAAATCACAATCACACAAAACCTGCTGTGGGTCTTCAAGTTCTCCAGGAGCTTTAGACACTAGATTAAATATAAGTGAGAGGATCTGCTTTATACCTGCAAGAGCTCAGAGATTATTTTATGAACACTCCACTTGGAAATCTAGACCATTTATTTGCCTTCTAGCCCAGTATATGATCCATGATATTATTTAAGAATATAATAATGAGTATGCTTCCCCATTGCACATTTGAATCAACACTTGAAAAGGAAAATATTGCTATCTTACTGTAGTTGTCTGTCTAAGGCATCAGCAGGAGTTTATTTTCTAACTTTAAAGAATAATTTTAAATGAAGGTCATCTCTTATTGTCTTCTGAGTCCTTGCAGCATAAAATATAACTCCATAATCAACCTTGCACTGCTACACTGGTAGTTAAGAATTTTATCCCATTTTTTTTTGTGGACCAAAGTCTGAAAAAAGTACTCGAACACGACTGAACTATGAGGCTTTGAGAATTATATTCATGGTCTGAATAATTAACTTTACTCTCTTCCTTTTTGAAGAAAAAAAGAAAGGGCATTCCTGGTTTAGAATCAAAAGGAAACGGCAGAGAAACATACATCAAGAAGGTAAGTAAGCAAAATGAAGTAGTCACACCTTTTGAGTTTAGTGAGGCACTGCTTATTGTATCCTTGCATCCTGAAGCTTCCTGAGGGTCACGCTCATTTTCCAGATACTATGTCAGGTGGGATATAGGCCAATACACTGTAACAAAGAGGCCTGAAAATGCAGTGGATTCAACTAAATGGTTTATTTCTCATACATGTATGTAATCCACCAGAGCTAAATGATCTAGGGCGAATAGAGAGACACTGCCATCCTCACTACATGGCTTCTTTCTGGGTCAAGACATTTTTATTAAGTTAGAAAGATGTTCCAAAGAAGGCTAAATGAAGAAAGCAGACTGTATGTGTGGTGTACATGTGGAAACAGTATACTGTATATGTTCATCTTAGGCTCAGATCATAGGATAGATGTATATTTAGTTTTACAAGAAAATAAAGTGGTTGTATCACATTACATTTCTATCCTAAATGTGAAAGAGTTTCAGTTCGCTGAGAGAGAGAGAGAGAGAGAGAGAGAGAGAGAGAGAAGCAAAGATATAGATATATAGAAGAATCAATGGCAATTCATCCATAAAAATATATGCAGTGATTACATTTGGTCATTGAAATATAAGTAATGTTTATTTTTTTGTTTGTGTTTTAAGCTATATGTGCATATTCATAATAATAAACACACTCAACTATTGTAATGAAAAAATATTACTCAAATAGTAACATATGCAAAGAAAAAGTCTAAAGGGATGCTTTGAACAAGTTAATTGTGGTTATTCCCAGATAGTGATGTTTCATACTATTTCTATTTTCTAATTTTTCAATAATGTATATGCATTACTTCTGATCAGATCCCTGAGAGCTTGTTTATTTCTGTAGTTATTGTGGTAAGGGACTCCTTTATTCTAGACAATAAGGGTGAGACCTTATTTTCTGGATGACTGACAATTTTGAATCAGTAGAACTATGTAAGATTTTAAAATCCAATTAAAACTCATTAATTTTCACCAACCTAAATATCTTATGTTCTTAACAATTTTCATGGCTGCTTTGTTGGTGAATGTATGCAATTTTTGTTTGGAATGAAAGGAAAAATGGTTGAATCCATTTTTTTAAAATTTCTTTATTGATTAAGGTATTACATATGTGTCCTTATCCCCCCATTACCCTCCATTCCCTCCACTCATGCCCTCACCCCCCTGTTGTCTGTGTCCATTGGTTAGGCTTATATGCATGCATACACGTCCTTTTGTTGAT